CAATGACTGTAGCCAGGCTGATCTGAAGCCAGGAGCCGGGAGCTTCCTCCAGGCCTCTCACATGAGTGTAGGGACCCAAAGACTTGGATATCTTCCACTGTTTCCCCGGCCATAGCAGAGAGCTGGATGGGAAGTGGAGTAGTCGGGACTCGAACCCTTTCCTATTTGGGATGCTGGCACCACAGGTGGAGGCTTTGCCACACCACAGTGCGCCAGTCCTGGTGATGTTTCATTTAGATTTAAAAATGAGCAGTCCCTTTCAGTGCTTTTCTTTCTGATGAAGGAAGCTAAAGGGAACTAGTCTGAGAAGTTAGAACTTCCTGCACTGTGCCTTCAACTTTGTTGCCTACCAGTATTCCTCTTATTAAACAAACAAACATGTCCCTACTTGTTCCCTCACTGTAATATGGGCCTCTTAAATTGTAATTTCTTTATTCCTGAATTTAAAAACCTTGTTTGGTACTTTGCATTTATTCTTGTAACATAGTAACGGAGAGTGACGGAAATGATCTTGTTGTTTTGTGTGGGGGGGTTTAGTCATTTCCCTGGCCGTGCCCTTTTATTACCCTGAGTGAGGTGTGGATGTGTTGGTGTGGGTGTGTTTGTGAAGCTTTGGGAACGCACACTGCGCACTTGGTGGCTGAAGTCTGGACCCAGTGTTTGTGCCACTAGTGGCTGTGGATGAATTACTGTTTCTCCATCAAGGAAAGCACCGAGTAGCAGCAGAAGGCTTGCCTCACAGTAGCCTTAAGCGCATTGGCGTTCACTTTTCTCACGGAAGTTCAGATTTGAGGGTTTCTTTCCGTCTTCCTGCTCTGCACTTAGGGGCCTAAGGTGACCGTTCTGTCTGTGCGTCCATTAGGAACACAAAAGGCTTTCCAGAAGTCTGCCCTGGAGTTGCAGAGTACAGAGCAGGCTGGGAAGCACCTCCCTCTGGGCACAGTGCCCTCTGAGCAGCGGCCCAGAGGGAGTAGACACTCAGCAGGCACCGCGGTGCTTTGTGGGAGGAGCAGCTTGAGAAGCCATGTCGCTGGCGCTCTGCTCTCTCCTGCAGAGCCTCCCTTCTTCCCGTCACCATGGCACATCCAGAGCTGTCCCTCTGCAGCCTTGAGCTTGGCCCGAAACAGCTTCTGTCTTCAAAACGGCTCCACTTGAACACACGCGGATTAGTTCAGCTAGAGCTGCCCCAGGTGCTGTCACTGCTGTAATTCTGACATCATTTTCTAGCTGGTGTTTCATCCTTCCTCCTTCCTGCATCGTGCTGGGCACTGGCACTCTGACGTTCTGGGAAAGTGCCGTCCTGCTGGGGAGGTTTTAGCCGAATCTGAAATGCCTTCATCTTGCAAAGTCTTCTTTCAAGGCAGCAGTGCTCACCATAGTCAGGCTTTGTTTCCCATTGGCTCTCCATGTAGGTGGTCCGTGTACCACCGCCTCTCCCAGCCCTGCCCCTGCTGGTCACCGGGGACTGACATGCCCCGCAGCACTGGCTCCTCCTCTTCCTCCTCCCCCTCTCCTCCTCCCCTCCTCCCCCCCTCCTCCCCTCCTCCTCCCCCTCTCCTCCTCCCCTCCTCCTCCCCCTCTCCTCCTCCCCTCCTCCTCCCCCTCCCCCTCCCCCTCCCCTCCTCCCCTCTTCCTCTTCCTCCC